TTTGTGACGGCACACTTGCCGTCTCAAAAAGTCACTTTTTGCGACGGCAGAAAATGCCGTCTCAAAAAAGCAGTGTATTTGCGACGGCACCAATTGTCATCTCAAAAAAGCAGAGCATTTGCGATGGCACCATTTGCCGTATCAAAAAAGCAGAGCATTTGCAACAGCACAATTTGCCGTCTCAAAAAATGAGAGTATTTGCGAAGTCGCAAAAAATGACTTTCGTGTTTTTTTTTAGTGAATATTTTTAAAATTTTAAATATTTTTCTTAGATGCACCTTACTTAGATGTAGCTAAAAAAAAATTATGAAAAAATATTTTTAAAAATTAATAAATGCATAAAAATACAAAAAAAAATGTATTGAATTATTGTATTTTTGGTATTTAGTGAATTTTTAAAAGATTTTTTTTACAATTTTTTTAATTTTTAGGTGTATTTATGTTAGGTATGTCTAAAAATTTAAAAAAAAAATACTTAAAATATTAAAAAAATTCAGTAAAAACAATATAACACGGAAAACAAGAAAGTATAATTTTCTCAAAAGAGTTTTTGAAAAACTCTAATCTAGCATAGTGATTGTGGTTTTGAGACAGCTTCATATATATATAGTCACAAAATGGTTTGAATAAATTCAACGGTATTTTTTTGTCGCAAAAAAAATTAAAAAAAAAACAATGTCGTCTTACTCTTTTGATATAACATTTCTCTTTTCATTCATTTTTTCATATTCCTGTCTCTCTGTCTCTATCTCTCTCTCTCTCTTCTCTTTATCTCTCTCTCTCTTCTCTTTATCTCTTTCACTCATCACTCTTCTTTCTCTGTCTATCTGTTTCTCTCTCTCATTTTCTCTCTGTGTCTCTCGCCTATCTCTCTTCTCTCTATCTCTCTCATTTGTTTTCTCTCTCTGTCTCTCTCGTTCATCTCTTTTCACTCTATCTCTCTCATTTCTTTTCTCTCTCTCTCTCTCTCTCTCTTATCTTTCTATCTCTCTCTATCTCTCCCACCCATTTCTCTTCTCTCTGTCTCTCTCTTTTTCTGTGTCTCTCTTTCGCTCATCTCTTTTTGCTCTATTTCTCTCTCTTTTTGTCTATCTCTTGCTCATCTCTTGTTTCTCTCTCTTTTTCTATCTCTCCCTCTATCTCTCTCTCTCTTTTTCTCTCTATATCTTTTTGTCTATCTCTCTTTCTCTCTGTCTCTCTCTCACTCATCACTCTTCTCTCTCTCTCTCTCTCTGTCTACTTGTTTATTTGTCTATTTCTCCCTCACTATGTTTGCCTTGCTCACTCTCTTACTCTCAACTTCTCTATTTATCGAGCTCCTTCTCGATTTATCGATCCACTATAAACGACGTCGTCTTACTCTTTTGAACATTTCTCTTTTCACTAATTTTTTCATCTTCCTATCTCTCTGTCTTTGTCTCTCTTCTCTTTCTCTCTCTTACTCATCACTCTTCTCTGTCTGTCTGTCTGTCTCTCCCTTTCTTTATGTATCTCCTTCGCCATCACCACCACCACCATCACCTTTTATCCACCACCTTCACTACTACTGCCGCTTCCTCTCCTCTACCACAAAATATTACCTCTCCTCTCTCTCTCACTCATCACTCTTCTCTGTCTGTCAGTCTTTGTCTCTGTCTCTTTCTCTCTTTGTCTCTTGCTCATCTCTCTTCTCTTTATCTCTCTCATCTCTCTATCTCTCTTCTCTCTCGGTCATATATCTTCTCTCTATCTCTCTCTCTCTGTCTCTCTCGCTCATTTTTCTTCTCTCTTCGCCTTTCACTTTTTCTATGTCTTTCTCTCGATCATCTCTTTTTACTCTCTTTCTCTCTCTCTTTTACTATCTCTCGCTCATCTCTTGTTTCTCTCTATTTTTCTATATGTCTCTCTCGCTATATATATATTTCTTTCTCACTTTGTCTCTCTCTCACTTATCACTCTTCTCTCTCTTTCTCTCTCTGTGTCTATTTGTCTGTCTCTCGCTCTTCTCTCTCTCTTTTTGTGTCTATCTGTCTGTTTGTCTCTCTCCCCATTGTGTTCACCTTGCTCACTCTCTCTATCATCTCTTCTCTATTTACCGAGCTCTCCACTACAAGAAAATGCACTTTTAGCGACCACTTTGTCTCTCTTTCGCTCATCACTTTGTCTTTGTCTGTCTATCTATCTCTCTCTTTCTCTCTTTCTCTCTTTCTCTCTTCTCTATCTGTCTCTCACTTATCTCTCTCTCACCATCCATCTTCTCTACCACGTTCACCACTACTGCAAATGCAATTCCACTACTACCACTGTTGTTACTCAACCTCTACAACTATCATTACTACCACCATCGCTACCACTCCACTACCACCACTACTACTACCATTATCTCTCATCGACAATCGCTATTCTATCTCCTCTACAACTACCATAACTTCACCACTTATCTCCTTCACCATCACTACCACCACCACTATCACCTCTTATCCATCACTTTCACCACTACTGCCACTTCCCATCTTCTACCACAAAAAATTAGTTCTTGATTTTTAGTAACAAAAAAAAAAAATGGGTCGCAAAAAAAAAATTTTCATTGACCACAAAAAATTAACTTTATTTTAATAGAAAATATTATCCCTACTTCTACCAAATAAAAAAAAAATAATAATTTTGTATTCATTAAAATAAATATGAAACAAATAAATTTTCAACCTTACTAAATGAAAAAAAAAAAACAAAAAAGACTTATTGTTTCATATTTATTTTAATGAATATGTCATTATTGTTTTGATTTCAACATCTTCTTGTTGTTTTATAATTGTGAGAAAACTTGTGAAATATTCGTATATCTTCATATTCTGTTTTATACTCTGAAAATTCAAAAAAAAAAAAAAAAAAAAGTCATTTTATTATTTAAATATTCATTTGTAATGAAAATTAAAAAAAAAAATCATTTGTAATCTCTTTCAATATTCATTTGTAACGAAAATCAAAAAAAAATAATTCATTCCTTTTCCATTCCCGCTCGAGTTTCCCCCACCCCAAACCCAAAATCCCCAATCTCAAAATCCCTAATCTCTTCTTACGTCTCTCTCTCTCTCTCTCTCTCTCTCTTCGTCTCTATTTGTTTCAGATGCTGATTCGGATGATTCACGGTCTAGGAAGAAGAGGAAGAGCACGAGTTCTAGGCGTAGGAGTAGGAAATTGGAATCAAATATCAACATACATACATACAGACTTGTTTGAATCGTCAATCAAATATCAACCAATCGATATCGATGGCTTCATCTTCGGATTCCATGGACAACACTTTCAGAGCTCGAGTCCAGAAGATCTTCGGGTCTCTCTCATCATCATCATCGCTAAGCCCTCCATGGTCTCTCACCAACGGCGAGGTCGAGAAGAGAGAGTGGCGACGACCCTTCTCCGCCAAAGACAACAACTAAACCCCCATTTCTTTCTCTTTCGATGGCCTTGCTTGTAGGGTTGTAGGGTTGTAGGGTTCCGCCATGAAAGGAGGTAGATCGAAAACAGAGCCAAAATGATCGATAGCAAGTAAGTTTTGTTTTCCTTGTTGTTTTTGGAGTTTTTAGGTCTGAGATCTATTATGCGTGTGATTCAGAGTGTGTTTTTTTGGTATTGAAGATCGATTTTTTTGTTGTTAGGCTTTCAGTGAAGAGGGGTGCTCCGAGGTAAGCAACCAATGCCAGGAAAATGACTCTTACGTTTTCAGTTGGGAATTATTCCGTGATGGATAGAATTATTTGGTATATTCACTGATACAGCTTTCTTGCCATCATCATTTTTTATAATATACTTAATTAACATGAAGTGAATTTGTTTCATAAGCACTGTGTTTCATTTGTAGTTAATATCCAAGGCAAATTTTCATAAGTTTTACCTTGTGCAATTAATAGGGTTTGAAGAGTGCATTGGCCTCTGGTGCTAATAAAGATGAAGAGAATTCAGAGGGAAGGACAGCATTGCATTTTGCGTGTGGATATGGTGAGGTATGATAGCCTTTTGAAGTGAAACCTTTATATTTTTGTTGTGTTTTTGCCTGCATATTACTCTATTTTTTTATGTTCTTTGGTGATAGATTCTATTTAATTAGTTGGGTGTGCATGCTGACTTGTGCTGATTAAGTTTTAGCACTGCATTTCTTAAAAATAACAGAAAACAGGGATAGTTTATTCATTATGCTAACTGCCAGTAGGACTAACTCTTACCCCTGATGTATCACACTTTTTTTTTTCTCTTTCGTAATTCAATTGCTACAATCAATGGGGCCACAATGGATGCACTACTCATATACTAGCTTTGAAACTCCTGTGAGCAAGTTGGCCCTAGCTTTTATAATAAACTTGTAGCCATAGTCTCTAATTTTTTTAAGCATGCTGCTTCTGAACTTGGTACTGGTGTTGTAGTGGTGTCTTTACTGCTGAAAGTGTGTGCTAATATTTGGTTTGAGTTGAGAGGACAAAAAAAGGTTAGTTACACTTTTGGTCCCTAAAGTATGTGTTTTCTAATGATCCCCAACATTTCAACTGTGGCAATTTGTAAATGGCTTTTTTTCAAATGTTTTTTTTTTTTTTTGGCCTAGGTGTAATTGTTTGTTAAAAAAATACCCCTAATTTTGATGACTAATACAAATGACATCAATGATGGAGACGTTTTTTCTACAAATTTTATACTTCGGATATGAAATCGACACAATTGAAATGTTATGGACTAAAATGATATAATGCATACTTGTAAGGGACACATATTTATTTATTTATTTTTACAAATAAGAAGATTCCATTAAGATGAGCCACTAAGGGGGTGTCACCCATTTACAAAGTATAAAGGACCTATACAAATATATTTACTTGTTATTGTTGTTCAATTTTTATGTTTTCAAAAAATGTGATTGTGACATTTGATTTTTTTTTCTTCCCCTTTCTCTTTGTGCATTTTCTTCGTCCTTAGTCCTTTAAGCAGATGACTGCTAGTTGCTTGGTAAAAGATCCTTCAAAACGGCCTTTTGCAAAGAAGTTGTTAAAGCATTCATTTTTCAAGCAAGCTAGATCAAATGATTACATATTGCGAACACTTTTGGAGGGGCTACCTGCTCTTGGTGATCGTCTTAAGGCCTTGAAGGTTAATACATTACTTGATTTATTTTTTGAGGAGATGAATTGGCATACTGATGTGAAAATGTGATATTCCAATCTGGGTTCTTCTTTAATGAGTGTGCAATTATTATCTACAGAGAAAAGAAGAAGATATGCTTGCACAAAAGAAAATACCAGATGGGCAAATGGAGGAAATGTCACAGGTTTAAATTTTTGGATCCATTGCAAAGATGAGTAGATGTTGATAGTTTGTTCTATTTGGTAGCGACATATTATAGTATGAATCTTATTATCTCTCATTTGGATTGGTAGTTTGGTATAAAAATTTTGGCACTAGATTTTTTATTGTTTCTCTCCCAATTTCCTCCCAGATTTAAATTGTGCATGTTCCTTAAACATCTTGCACAGTTTTTGGGTATTGTTACATCGTTGAATTGGCTCATGCCCTTGTTGACACTGTTGATTTTCTTGTTAAGGACACCTTGTCAAAAGATGTCCTCTTGCTGGATTACATCCTTATAGTGTGAGCATGCTGGCCCAGGTAAGCTTACGACACATTAAAATACAGATACTACACGAACAGACCCTACTAGATTGGGTATAAAGAACAAATAAAAAATAAATGAGGTTGCAGCCCTAATTCCGAAATTTATGGTTGTGGATTGACCCACAACCATGAGTTTATTGTTAACACAATAGTAGAATTGCGATAGTAATTTTGGCTGTTTGTTTCCAATGTGTACAACTTTGTATGACTCTGCTCTCATAAATATCATCATCACATTTGTGTCTTTGTTTCCTGTTGTGGTCTTTTTTCTTCTTCCTCGATGATAACTTGCTTACTCCCCCTTCCTGTTATGTCATCACTGCTTCTGCATGTTGTAACTTCTTTTATAATAGTGCTCTCCTAAATATTATACATTATTTTATTTTATCTATACCTAATGCAACCTATTTTTCTTCTGTCTGAATGATAATTAGCTTACTGATTTGAAAAATATTTTCTTCTGTCATATTGTTTCTACCTGTTGTGGTCGTCAATTCCTTTCAATACTATTTTTAAGTGGAATTTTTTGTAAAAGTAGAATCTTTCTATGCAATCACTAGCTTGTTTTAATTTGCATTTTTTTGAATTGCGTAGAATGAATATAAACGAGGGATTAGTGGTTGGAACTTCAACGTTGAAGATGTGAAGGCTCAGGGTTCCTTGGTAGGATAACTAGCTCTTTTGTTCTGATCAGGTTTTCCTTTCTCAACTCATTAAATTGTTGTAAAGTAGGTATTATTAATCAATATATGTATACGTTTTCATTTGGCTAGATCCAGGATGAGGACACTCCATCTGAACAAGATCAAGGTGGAAGATCATTTACTTCTTCTGGCCTTGACGTTGAAAAGAAATTTCAGTATCAATTGTCTTTTGCGAGCCACTCTATGTTAACATTTTTTGTATGATTGTCTTTAGTGAGATGTAGATCTTTTTGCAGTTCTTAATGTTATAATACTTCACAGGAAGATAATGGGTTTGTGTGTCATAATGCCTTCACAATGACTTGAATACTCAGCATGTAAAATATGGGTCCCAAAGTAAATGGCTCATCCTGTCTGGACCTCAATTTTATTTATGACAGTGAAAATTTAAATGCAATTTGTTTTATTATTTTAGTAATGAAATTTGGTTCGTGTTATTTTGAATTATGAACAAAATCATGTATTTAAACATTATATATGTATTATGGAACATTATGTAGTGGGATAATTTTGTTGATGTGTAATTATATGAATGGAAAAATATTTTATTATGAAGAAATTGTTATTTTTATATTATTATGGAGAAATTTTAATATTTTTATCGTAGGATGTTTTTTTCTTTTTTGCGACGGCATTACACCGTCGCAAAAAATAGAAAATTTTAATATTTTTATTAATTTTGTTACAGGTTTTACTTTTTGAGACGGCATTACACTGTCGCAAAAAATAGAAATTTTCATGTTTTTAATATTTTTGCGACGGCACACACGTCGCAAAAACAGGGTTTTTGCCGTTGAAAAAAAAGACTATTAGCGACGGTATTTTTTGCCGTCTCAAATACCATTTTTAGTGACGGTAAAATAGTGCCGTCACAAAAAGTCAAGAAATTTCAAATGTTATTAGCAACTGCACAGTGTCGTCGCAAAAAGGCAAAAATGCCGTCACAAAACATTAGCGACGGCACTATGCCGTCGCAAAAACTCTTTTGCGACCCCTGCATTTGTGACCCCCTCTTGTCGTCGCAAAAAGTCATTTTGCCGTCGCAAAAAGTATTAGCGACGGCATTAGGAGTATTAGCGACGGTATTTTACTGTCGCAAAAGTCAATTTTTTTGTAGTGTTTAGGTTTACAAAAAAAATTAAAATGTCCGCATACAAATTTAATTAGTAATTTTAATTTAATAATATAAAAATAATAATATTTAATTGATACTTTGTTACAACTGAAAAACATACTTAAATCAATTGAATTCAATTTGCCGTGATCTTAGAGTTTGGCCCAAATATGTAAAGTGTGGATGAGATTGAATTAGTATGTAATGTAGGTAAATTTCTAGATTAATATTTTGATTTGTAGTATTACTGTAAAGTAAATTATAGAGAAAATTAGTGAAACATCCATCTCCAATTTTGGATAGTAAGTGAGGTCCAATATATTTTTTTTTTATTAGCTAAGGTCCCTCGATGAAATTTCTTTGTGATTATACTAGATAAATTTTGAAATTTCTCAGTGAAAATTGAAATTTCTCTATATCGGGGAGAAATTTCTCTATATCAAATTTTTTCTGTGAAAACATTGAGGGACTCCAACTACTATAAAAATATTATATATCTTTTATCTTATAAAATCTTAATATCAATTGGAGTCCCTCAACATTTTCACAAAAAATAAATAAATAAATTTGATATAGAGAAATTTCGCTTCGACATAGAGAAATTTCAATTTTCACAGAGAAATTTCAAAATTTGTCTGGTATGATCACATGGAAATTTCATTAAGGACCTTAGCTAATAAAAAAAAAAAAACATATTGGACCTTTCCTACTACCCAAAGTTGGATATGTCACTAATTTTCTCTATAATTTACTTTATAGTAATACTACAAATCAAAATATTAATCTAGAAATTTACCAATAACTTGAGAAGACAACACAAACCCATAGCGTTTTACCAGTAACTTGAGAAAAAATAAAATTGTAGAGCAGATTTATTTTACAAATAGGATACCCCATTCAAGAATTGAATTCGGACTAATAATCAAAATTCAGTGTAAATTCTAGGATCAAACATCTAGTTTCTTAGAATTTCAACTATAACAATGGACACAACCAAAACAGCTTCAGCTGAATAAAACAATAACAAAAGCTAGCTGACTAAATTGTTGAAACTTAATGCACACATATCATTGGATCATCTTGAAACTGACTACTGATCAGAGTTCAACAATTAAAAAATATATATAATCAAGGGTCAAGAACTATTGAGCAACGTTTTTCACTTCAGAGACAACAATAACTTTGCACTGGACAATTAAAGTGTCGTTGACGAGTAATCCCTTGGAGGAATCATGGAGATCAGTTAGCGACAATAATGTACTGTCGCCATAAGCGAAATGTGAAGTAGCACTAAACCAGCTGCCACTTGAATCACAATAGTTGCGCAACTATTAACTATATTATACATATATCATGGTAAGCATGGTTATACACCATGCGAACCACCCAAGTCACCCCATAGCGCACTCCCTAAGTCGCCCCCTTGGTGAAAGTGAATTGTGTATATATAGATGGCTCTAACAATGTTCAGGAGCTCCTTTATATAGGAGAGGATTACAGACATACATTATGAATACATTATGAAAGCAAACCGAAATTAGCCGAAAGGAACAAGCTTTCTGTAAAGCTATATTAAAGCTATGCACTACACTAACATACACTAACATTATAATATTCATGCACTAATTATACACTAACAACCCCTCTCAAACTCAAGGAGGATAGGTACCAGCCAACATGAGTTTGGAGAGAGTAACCAAACGTGAAAATAAAATAAAATAAGAGACACTGTATGGTCGTGTCAGACCGTTATAGAAGACACTGTATGGTCGTGTCGAACCATTGTAGAAGATACTGTGTGGTCATGTCAGACCATTGTAGAAGACACTGTGTGGTCATGTCGGATCATTGGAGAAGACATTGTGTGGTCGTGTCGGACCGTTGTAGAAAACATTGTGTGGTCATGTCGAACAGTTTGTAGAAGACACTGTATGGTCGTGTCGGACCATTGTAGAAGACACTGTGTGGGCGTGTCGGACCGTTGGAGAAGACACTGTGTGGTCGAGTCGAACCATTGTAGAAGACACTATGTGGTCGTGTCGAACCGTTGTAGAAGACCCTCTATAGTTGTGTCGGACTGTTGGAGAAGACTTTGGTGATGCACCAAGGGGGCGACTTAGGGAGTGCGCCATGGGGTGGCTTGGGTGGTTCTCATGGTGTATAACCATGCTCACCGTGATACATGTATAATACCCCCCTTCAAACTCAAAAGGTTTGAAGATAGAAACCTATTGGAGGTTGAAACAAAAGTGACAAAGTGGAGCGGAACGGCTCAACACAAAGTGGAGATGTTAAAAAAATGGTAGAAAGGTTTTTTGTTTTTTTTTTAGTTGGTTGGTTAATGAAGAAAGATAAAATAAGATAAGAAATGGGATGTGGGCGGTGGAAGAAAAAGGAAATGATGGGTATGTCGATTGGGAAAAAAAAAAGATATAAAATAAAATAAAGTTGAGATAGTGAGGAACATGGATGTGATAAATTGATTAAAATAAATAAATAAATAAAAAATAAATAAAAGAAGAAAAAAGAATGGGTTTGGATTGTGAGAGGTTGGAAGAGAGGCACTGATTGGCAGAGACAGAGGTGTTGGTGTTTTTCAGAGGCGGTGAGGAGGCTTGCCCAAAAGATTTGGCTGGCTAATTGAAAACATAGTGTCAAAACAATTTCCATTGTTGGACTTAAAAGTCCATGCCTTGTCAATGATGGAGATATTTGAAAATTCTTGAAGCAATTTAGACGGAGAAGAAAATTCTTCTTCAGTAGCCTCATCTAAACCCACAGGAATATATGGTATGGTGATGGATGATGAGAATGAAGGGATTAAAAAAATAGAAGAAGATATATATATATATATATATGGTAGGGTAATGGATGATGGGTTTGAATATATATAGTGAGGAACAAGCATGTGGTGGATTAAATATATATATATATATATATATGTGGATGATGGGGGGAAGGTGACGTAGGGGTTGGTGATTGGAAGGAAAAAAAAAAATTTTAAAAAATCTGGCCAATCACAATGGACTAGGGGTCCTGGGGGTGACCCCAGTGGGGGTCCGAATCATTAATCTTGAATATATATAGTGAGGAACAAGCATGTGGTGGATTAAAAATATATATATATATGGATGATGGGGGAGGTAAAAAGATAGGTTGTAAGATGGGTGTAAATCTGAGAGTGTAAATTAGAGAGAGAGAGAGAGAGAGAGAGAGAGAGAGAGAGATTTGGTTTTGGAGCTCAAATTAATGGTGTGAATTAGACGAAGCATTGGACGGCATGGGCCGAGGAGAAGGCGACGGTGAAGAACTAGATCTGCCAGCATGATGGCCGGAGTGGCTAAGTAAGCATCAGCGGAGAAGAAGACGGTAAGTAGGCGGCAAAAAGTCCAAAAGAAGCTGCCGGAGAAAGGCTGGAATGATGGGTCATGGTTGGAGCATGAGTGCTCCTCACCAAAGATACAGAGGGTCGGAAGGGATGATGCCGATGAAGGGATAAAGACGGTATGTGTAGAAAACTCCAACGGGCAACGAAGGCAAAGTTGTCGGCCAACTGCCCCACCGGTGAGAAAGAAATACATGCCTAAATTTTATAACTCTGATATCATGTTAGAATAATGTATAGAGAGAGAGAGAGAGTGAGTGAATTGTGTATATATAGATGGCTCTAACAATGTTCAAGAGCTCCTTTATATGGGAGAGGATTACAGACATACATTATGAAAGCAAACTGAAACTGGCCGAAAGGAACAAGCTTTCTGTAAAGCTATATTAAAGTTATGCACTACACTAACATACACTAACAGTATAATAACTATACACT